TAACCTTATGAACTAAGTAGTATCTTTCTAGTTGCAACTAGCAACAACCTGATATTCACTAGGCTTCTCCTGAAAGATGTTGGAGTAATGTGTTGCTCATACTCCAAGACTTCTCTGGAGACAAAAAGTAAAAATCCAAAAAAAAAGTATCCTAAAGTTAGTTTCAGCACTCTCAGGAAAGAAATAAAAGCTAGTTAGAAGCCCTTTTTCAAAAACAGAAATTTTATCTGGTAGACTTTCCCCAGGGTTTTTTTAGTATCTTAATTCTGTTAGAACTAAAAAGATCCAACCCATATTTTACAGTTTAAAAATCGTTTCTCTCTTTCTAAGTCAAACAAAATGTTTCCTATGCAGAAATCTTTCTTAGGACCATACCAAGAAAAAAGAAAATGGAGTGCGGTTGCACGTCAAAACAATTTCAGAAACTCACCACAACACTTAGGCCTGAAACACTGCATCAACTTTGTCTACAAATATAAAATGCAGTATAGAATTTTAAAGATCCATAAATTGACAACCGTAGGTGAGTTATCTAAGTGACATGAATTATTTGCCTGGTAAGTCAACTTAACAAATCTGTGAGCTGTACCTAAAGTATGAACAAATGGGACTCTAAGTCCTAAACTATTTTGCTATCAATCAAGTTTTAGGATAATCTTTGTGACATACAGATTTTCCCCATTTTCTGGTTCATGGCTAATGGAGGTGTGAACACAATTGAGCTGTAGATAACAGAATGTCAGCATACATACTAGACAATTCTCCTTTACTTTCCTGTAAGGGCAGAAGATCTAGGCAGCCCTCCAAAGAAGTGCTATATTCAAATATAATTATTGGCAGGTGTCCCAATATATTATTTGGTTTGGACATTAGAGTTCCAGGATGTGTTTGGCAGGACAGGTAGGATTTTTTTTCTCTTTAATGTAAAGGTCAAATCATGCCTGTAGTCACATGAAAATGGGCCCTTGTTTCTTCATTTTGAAATCAAGAAAATAAAATCAAAAGTCACAGGGTTAAGAAATTCTATATCAAAATTCCTTATACAGATTATCAAAATAGAATAATGAAACCTGTTAAAATTGTTTTAAACAGGGGGGAGGAAGGCTAAGAAAGAATAATAGGCTGAATTTGATCAAAGTACACTATTCACACATATGGAAATATAACAATGACACCCCTTTGTATAATTTATATATGCTAATAAGAAAACAAACAATCCTATATAGGAAATGCAAAAACTAGGCTTCTAGCCCAGTATGTGGTATACAGTAACTACTTAAAATTAAAAACAAATGCATTGACTTGAACATTAACATTTAAAGCTGATAAACAAATATATTATTTTCCACTCTCAAAACTTTATAATTAGCTTTTTTTTTTTTTTTTTAAGAGAAGAACCCTCATTGTGTTGCCCAGGCTGGCCTTGACTCCTGGAGTCAAGAAATTTTTCTGCCTCAGCCTTTATAGCTTATAATCAGCTTTTGATCATTATGAACCACTAAAACTTCTTAGTGCTTCTGGGAGGTACTCCCCTAACTCCCTGTTCCTATTCATGACTATGAGTATACAGCACCATGCTAGCCTTTGGTTGAAGAGGTACCGCAGTATAATGGTTAAAAGCCAAATCTTGTGTGTGAATTATAATAGAATTTCTACCTCACAGGATTGCTGAATGAGTTAAATGAGATAATACATGTAAAACGCAGTAGGCATGTTAGCTATTATTAAATGCATATTAATTAGTTCAATGTGTCTGAAAATAGGATTTGAGGCATGCCATATGAATTTAGATAAAGTAGCTTTATGGTAAACAAAAATAATTTAGATACAGATTTTACTTCAAAATATTTCCAAAACACAGTTCCTTCCCCTATCAGTTATCTTGTGGGGGGGCATTCATATATTTAGAATCTCTGCTTATGAGTCATAAACATGGATAAAAAGGAATACTGAAATTGGACAAAAAAGGAATTTAAAAGTTTATCATGAGCTTGTACCCAAACCTGAAGTAACCAAATAAAAAAATCATTCTGGTTCATCTCAAATAAAAATAAATATTTGCCAATATCAGTTACAATTCAGGTAAATTATTTCCTTTTAATATAACAAATCATGCTTTGATTGAATACCAACATAATAATATGACCATGTAAATTCTATCTTGTAATTTCTATATTTCAAGATGTCGCCATGACACACTAGGAAAGTAAAAATAGAAATTGAAGTTGAATTGCTAATATCTATAAATTTTCTTTCCTAAAATTAATAGTGCTTAAGTTATATATTTAAATAAAACAGGAGCTTTTAGAAAGAGTGTGAATTATAGTTGAAGCAATTTAACTAAATTTCACAGTGGTTTGTTTTAGAATAAGAGACTTGTGGGATCACATAGGTCATACCCCACACTTCATGAAAATGAGGTCCCCAAATGCTGACACTGATAAAGCCAAGACCACAACCTAAGCCTCCTGGATCCCCATCAAACAAATATTCCTTACAATTTCTTCATGTCAAATTTAACCAAGTAATCCAAGTCAAACTCAAAAGGGTACTTTCTGCCAAAAACTAATTCAAAAGAATTATTGTTTAAAAAAAAGAATTGCATTCATTTAAGTAAGCACCACACTAGTCAATTTATGTACTTAGGATTTTCTTCAAATTCCCAACTAGGAGTTGCTTGTCATAGAGATTTTTTTCAAATCACTTATTTATCTTGTGACTTTCAAATCACCCTGTGGCTTGCTTTCTCTCCTGTCTACTCCTTCTCTGCAACAGTTCTAAAAATGGTGGAAATGGATTGCAAAAATTAACGATTTACTTTCTAATCCTACTATATTTGAGTCAGGTACACTGATCACCCTTTTACCAACCTCAACAGAATAGGGAAGAGTTAGTTTGTAACAACATCTTTTAGTATCAATTTTAATCTATTATTTTATATATCAGCTTAATTTCCAAAGATATCATCTGATCAAAAATATTTCACATGTTAAACACATTCCATTAGTCCCAGAGGGGAAAAAAGCTAATGTGCATTTATGTATATTTTGTCTTCTGAACTTTTCATTTTTTCCAAAACAAACTTTCATCATAAGTCAGTAAGCTGAGAACGGGAAATAGATCATAAGGTCACATAAATTCAGTCTGTCAATGTATAGTAGTATGAGCCAAATTTGATCCAGTTAAAATAATGCCATCTTAGATTTTTTTAAATTACCAATACATAAATAATTTATAAGTCACCTTTGTATTAAATTTATGTTCAAAGCAATATCAAAAGCAACTCTTAAAAAATAGACTTCATAGCACTGTATCAGTGTCTTGAATAGCCATTTCTCTGCACTAAAACATGATTACTTTTCTGTTTGAGTAAAAATGCTTATGAAAAGAAAATGAAACAGCTTTTTGATAGGCAAAAAACATTTTTTAAAAAAATTAAAGCAAATATTTTAAGATACATTGTACGTGAAGCCTTAGGAAAGGAACAGATTATTTCATTCTTTGGACATAGGATTCTCTTAATAAATTTTCCTTCCCCTAAACAAATCACTAATTAAACAGGTAATTTCATTTGTGCTAATATCATACTTAGAAACACTGCAACTATTTTATAATCTTTGTCAGCCCTTGCAGAAAGATATCTAAAATGACCCTTGAGCTGTAGCACATGTGTATATATATGTACACATGCATCTACATATATTTTAAGGTGTTTTTTGTTGTTGCTGTTTGGGTTTTGTTTTTTTGGTTTTAGGGTTTTTGTGGTGCTGGAGCAGGAATCCAGAGCCTTGTGCATGCTAGGCAAGCACAGCCCCCTACATATTTCTAATCCTGGTTTTTTAACCTAGAAATCATACTTTTACCAGTTGTGTGCAATATCCTCACCTATAAAATGGAGATAATAACAGAACTTAACTTGAGGGGTTAGTTGTGAGGACTGATTAATGTTATTACCTCTATAAATTTTCTTAAGGTACATAAATGATCATACTCCCAAAGAATGCGAATTTCGTGGGGAAAGTAATGTTCAACTACTGATGAAATTCCCTTTATCTTCTTCCTACCAACTAAACTGGCTGCTCATTAGTTCCAAAATATCAAACAATGTGACTCCTGCCAGAAAAGGATATACTGGTAACAAGACAGTGATCTTTGCCTGGATCTATTTTTAGGAATGGTTTAATTACCTACACCCCTAGTGTTAACACTGGAAAATAAACAAATGGGTGAAAGGCATCACAAAACAGAGTCACTCGAGATCAAGGGCTTCATAGCATTCAAAAAGAAATGGTTAGCATGCTGGAGGGCCTAGGTTCCATCCCAGCACTGCAAAAAAATTAAGTTTTTTAAAAAGGGTGATGAAGAAAACATTTAGATCATTTCTGTCTCACTAGTAGTCCTTACTCACACAAGGCAGGCCAGAATTTGCAAAGAGCTTTGAGAAGAATTGTTGAATTGATCAATTCAAACTGTCTAGACTGCAAGGTTCCAGGTTTAAAATATAACCAGTGAGAAAACTGTAATACTGAAGTTGATTTTTACTGAATCACAAACAGTGCCAAAAGAAGTGACTGGGTTTTTTGTTTTGTTTTGTTTTGTTTAGATAGTTACTTCATATGAGCAGAAAACATTCATTAGTTTCCACAGCAAAATATATCTACATATTATTTGTTCTCACCTAAGCAGAGAAAACTGACCCTGCTTCTCTTGTCAGGCAAGAAAGGTACTATACTAAATAATTATGACCTCGCTAGCTGCCTGGTATTCATAATTATCCATGAAAAGATCAAGTCTGCAATTAGAAAATTGCCAAAGAAACAGATGAACATTTTATTCCAAATTATACTTCTCTTTTGTTAAAAAAAAATCTGGCAAGTGATTCAATTTGTCTAAGAAGAGCTCTGATGGGAATATGGACAATCCAAACTCTTTCATCCCACAGATATTACACCATGCTATTTTCTCATTCATCTTAATCTATTAATGGAACATTATCTTACCGGAAAAGGAAAAATGTTGTCAGCTCTGTTCAAGCTATCTTCCATCCAGGATTTAGGAGCAAAGGCAGAGCTGGGGCGGGCATACTTCTGGAGCTGAATATGATTGCTTGCAAAATTTTTCTTCAAAGGTGAGATGGAGTTCAGGGGTGTTATTCCACCATTCAGCCCTCTGCGGTGATCTCGGCCTTGGGAACCTCCCCAGCCACCATAACCGCCACCTCCTGGGCTCCAGGAGGAAGACGGGGTTGGAGAGGGACTCTGGTAGCTGCTCCAAGGAGAGGGGGGTTTGTTAAGATTATTCGCCAAGTGAGGCAGCTGGTTAAAAGCAGCATTTCTGTGTGGGAAGGGCGGGGGATGGGGACTGGCAGGAGACCTCCTTTGCTGCTGATGCTGGCTGTGATGATGCTGGAAATGAGGGTGATGCGGATGGTGCTGTGAGAGAGGCCCGATCTGTGGAGAGAAGCTGCCTCCAAAGCCGGGGCTGACGTGATGGGGGAAATTTTGAAACAACAGAGCACCGTTATTAGCCGAAGCAGCAGGGACCCCTCCCTGGTGAAAGAAACTTGCATCTTCATTGATTATTGTAGAGGAAGAAGGCGCAAGCGCTGCTGACCAGTTACTGAAGCCAGTGAGAGACGATGCACTGGATGTCAAGGGCTGGGTGGAATTGCCTAGCCCTGTGGCTTCTTGGTAATCAAACCCTGTCAACACTGGTGACTCGATTCGTATTTTCTCCTTCCCGTTGCCATTTTCGGAAGAATTGTCCCCTTGATTTTCTTCCGATTTTGCTTTCTCCGTTTCAGGCAGTATTCCAGCTTCCTGACCTGGACTTGGAGAAAGCTGCTGCTTTTCTAAAGGGTCTTGCTGTTCCTGTTGCTGACTTTTTGCTTTTTCTGACCCCAAGATCTCATCCTGAATATTATGGGTAGCTGGAGCAGGAAAGAGCCAAGCTGACCCAGCACTGCTGCCATTGGCAGCTGTGTTATTATTTATAAAAGCAGCAGGGCTGGGGGTGGCATTTTGGTGATGGTGTGGAGGCTGTAGATGTGGATGGAACCGGACTGGAAAAGCAGACTTATTCCCAGTATTGCTTTGCACTAGCACTCCAAACCCGTAATCCCCCATTTATTATTTTTAGGATCAGAATCTCACGATAAAAAAAAAAATGACAACCTGATGTCTCACGCCTTCCCCGCACTCTATCCCAAATTTAAGTTGTTTGCTTGAAATGTCTTATTTATAGCTAACTCAAAGATCACAGCTTATCACTCTAAGTAGCTCTGATTTGGAATAATGGTCTCTCCGAAAGAAAAAAAAATTTAAAAATCTCTTAAAACACTGACATGAATCAAACTGGGTTTATTTCTAGGAGGGAATAAAAATGAAGAAGGTAAAAATCAAGTCTTTGGTTAGTAAAATAGGCGCTTTCTTTTTCCAAAGGAAAACGTACATGAATGACAAAAACACACCTTCTCAAGCATCTATGGATGTAGAAGAATAAGCATTGTGCGGAGTAAAAAATATATAATATATATATAATTTAACAATCACATAGGGTCTTCCTCAGCAGTTTAGATTCACATAAAAATTAGAATAGGGCTAAGGGGAGAGAATACGTTCTTCTTTTCTTGGCAGCTTGGTTTAAAAAAATCAGGAATAATTTAAGAACATTATATATTATATATTTATATATATAGATTATATTAGATTATCTGGGGGTGGGAGGTGAATTCCTGGTTGCGGGAGAGGAAATCAGCATTGACTAATGGGGGGATGATTGCAGGGCGTTTTCTGGCCGTTCCTGGTCCTGTCTCTGCTCTCTCGCGGGGTGCAGGTTTGACTCCTGGGGTTCCGGGTGCGGATCTCGCTGCGGTCGCTGTTCCTGGGCTCCCCCCGGCCTCCTCTCCCCCATCAAAGGGGTTGATGAAAAACACCCGTTTTTTGTTGTTTTGTTTTGTTTTTTTTCTCCCTCTTGGGGGTGTCGCGACCTGGGAAGGGTTTGCTTAGCGACACTGGACGCGGGCGAGCTGGTGGCCCGGGGGCGCGGGGACCGAGGCGGCGACCTGGAAGGTCCTGCGGTTTCTGCCGCTTCCCCTCTCGGTGGCTCCGGGGTTTTTTCCCCTCATGGGACCCAGGGGCGGTTTGTTCAGTTCTCTCAGTTCGATTCTCCGCGGGGGGGAGGGGGAGGAAGGAAAAAGGAAAAACCCACGGCCGCAGTTACTCGCAAGGAGAAAGGCCTCCCCCCTCGGCTCGCTCTCTCCTTCCCCTCTCCAACCTGGATTTTCTGTAAAACTATAATTTACAAGGCTTTTGTTTATCCTCACGGTTGCTGGGCCGTCGCCGCCGCCACCGCCACCGCCGCCGCCGCCGCTGCTTTACCCCGGTGCCCCGCAGTCCCAGCTGTCGTCGTTGAGGCTCTTCTTTTTCTTTCCTTCTTCCTCCTCTTCCTCCTGTGCTGTCGCCGCTGCTGCTGCCGCCGCCGCCGCCACCACTGCCTCCCGGTGCCCGGGGTCCCGCAGCTGCGGCTGAGTCCTTCTCCTCAGGACCGATCCGAGTGAAATGACAACCAGCTGGAAAGACCTAGAGACACTTCCGGTTCGAAGAGGGAGGAGGTGGGTGTCGCAGAGGACCCACCCACCTTCCGGAAGACCAATCAGCTTGTAAAATTCAGACGAGGTCACGCCCCCCAAACTCAGAGCTCCTCCCAGGAAGGTCGACAAGTTACCTCAAGAGACTCCCCTTCCGTCCTCGCCTCTCCCAGTGAGGCCGGGAGCTAGGAACCCCTCCCCCGCCCCTGCGCAGAGTGAGCGCAGCGCGTCGCCATCTTTTGTGTGGGCAAAGGAGTCCTTCGATGTTTATCTCCTCTAACTGGGCTTCACGGGAAGCCCTTATACGGACGCGCGGAAGCACATAGGCTCCTTGAACGTTGTGGCACTGAGTCAAGGTGTTGGGCATGGAAATGGCAACGCGTGAAACAGCTGGTAAACGAGAGGACTGCCCTCAGCAAAGGTGGTGCCCCAGGCGTCACGTGTTCTGGCCCGAACTCCGCCCCAGAGGGATCTGGAAAGGGAGGCGGGTTTTCCCAGCAGCTGTGAGGTGCCTATAACTACGTATGTCCTTGCCCAGAATGCAGACCTTAAGAGGGACTGTCCCTTAGTCCTCCTTTCCCCCACCCGCACCGCGCACTCTCCCATCCTTTCTCAGAGGTGCAACTGCTGTAGGCATGCATGGCTGAACTTCCCATCTCGCCTGGTTCTGGCTACCTTACACACAATACATAGGGACATTTTCCAAAAAGAAAATCTAATCATGGACCTCCCCTGCTCCTGTCTCTTCTATGGCTGCCCTTACCTTGAGAATAAAGGTCAAACTCCCTAGTTTCACATCCAAGTGTTTTCAGCTTGTAAACAGTCTTAACAATTCATCTCCCCCCAAAATACTCACTGAGTTTTTGCATGGCCTTTTTCTCTCATCACCACGTGGTAAACTTTAATTTTAGGAGTCAGTTCAAAGGCTACCAATCGTGAATTCTCTCTTATAAGTGCCCCGGCCCTTGATTATCACAATGAATTGTTACAGTGACCTACGTCTTCCAGACCCGTGCTTGACTATGGGCTCTTTGAGGAGTGGGCGCTGTAGATCAATGGCATCAGTGTATGAATCCTGAAGACATGAATGGACAAACCAGCAACAGCGAAGTCTTTCCTAGGTGATAGCTTCAGTTTTCAAATCTTGCCTTCTTTATGGCGTTTTTGGAGCTCACATTCAAACTTTCATCACATTAGCTATTTGTTTGCTGTTCAAGGGTCCTGAGGCTTGTTTTTATCTCTGTAACACTCCCACTACTGTGACCCCCATCAAAGTCTGGGGTAATGTCTTGCTCTTGGCACAAGCCTTAACGATATTGATTAAGTCTTCTCTTTTAGCAGGAAATGAAAAACAAGAAATCAGGGTAGAACCAGAGTGACTGTGACAAAATGCAGTGGGGAGGAGGGGAGCCAGTGAGACTTAAAAACAGTCTTATAAAACAATAGTAGTTTCCATTTCAATTCTATAGCCTCCCTTCAATGGAACCAACTTCTGGGTCTCAGTCTCTCAGTTCTCCAACACTTCTGTGTAGCTCACCTTTGTGGGCCCTTAACCAGAGACTTTATTCTGTTTCATTGTATCACAAGCATGAGTCTTGTCTGTGCAGTTCCACAAGTCCCTTGGGCAGAGGGGCTGGGTCTTACTCTATTGTTTATTCCCTACCACTGGACACATCCTGGGCACTTAGCTAGCTCAACCAGATGTCATTTCCTTCTGAATGACTTCCCTGACTTCCCTTTCTGTAGCATCAGGTAGATTCATCTTTTTAAATTATTGCTGGCTGTCAGTGGGTTAGCGTCTTGATGGCAGAGGCTGTGTCTGACTTGTCTTTATGTCCCCAGTGGCCAGTGGAAGGTCTGGCATGCAGGCCCCAGACTTGTTTACTGAATGAATGGATGGATGTTCCCGAGCCTGTAGATGGTTAAGGGTCTCTTGGAGCTACCAATACTGTCAGCAGCTAAAATGGCAGCCATAGCTTGGAGGGAAAAAGATTCTCTTTGGAACCAAACAGCCATGAATTTGAATCCCAGCTGTGCTATTTCATCATTGTGCAGACCCTAGGCATCAACTTTACAAGCCCTCCTTCCTCACAGATAAAATATGAAAGCTATTTTGTTCCCTCACTAGGTTTGTAAATTACATGAGATACGTATAAGTGCGGGGCTCACAGGAGGTGTTCAAAAATGTCAGGTCCTAATTAACATATTAAGCACAGAGAATTACTTCATAAGCGTCTTTTGCCTAGAAGCAGTTACTTACACCAGGGATCCAGGAACCTGTCTTGGTTTGTAGAAGAATGAGGCACACCCAGAAGCCAGGTGCTTCCAAGTCAGTCTGATCTTTTAGGACTAAATCAATCAGAGGCAGCAGGTTGGGCTGGGATGATCACTGGAGACATCTGTCAAGCTCTGGTTAGGTACCAGGAGTGGCGAGAGGAAGAGAGAATCAATTCTCTTAGTTCTGTTGTCTACTCAGAAATCCAGGATATACACACAGCTCAGCGCACCCCTCCTTGAAAACATTCTGGCCTCAGAAACTGTCCCATGGTAACCATGACAACAATTCAGCAGCTCCATTTAGGATCTCCAAAAAGATCTCCAATTGCAGGATGAATGCTGGCTGGAACACTGCTGACTGAAGCAAGCCCTTCCCTCCCAGGAAGCATGCTCACCAGGAAGCTTTTAGGTTGCAGGAAAATCCAGCTCTGCCCAAGCATTAAGGTGCTACCAATATATGTATGTGTATATATATATATACATATATACACATACACACACACTCTCCCTCCCTGTCCAGTGCACCTTCAGAGAAGCTGTGGGTTGGGGAATGCCTGGGCCTTGCTGGTCGCTTGCCCGGCCCCCTCTGGAATTTGAAGTCAACTGCACCCCAATCCTGGAGCCTTCCAGGAAGCAGAGCATTAATGTCTCCTTCACCAGCCTCTTTTAAAGCTTGGTAGATGACATAAATCTCACACCATAATCGTACCAGGTGAACTCTGCCCCACTCAAGCTCTAATGTCCTCCACCACTGCCCTTGAAATATATGTCATCAGTGATCTCCCAACAGACCACACCCAAGCTACCCAGGAACCTATACACAGAGTAGTATGTGACTATATCAGCCATAAGTCACAGGAACACATTATAAAATATGATACCCTTCAAAAAAAAAAAAAAACCACCAGGTACTACCATAAATGGCATGAGCACAGGCTCATTGCATGCAGAAATATTTAAAGCAATTGATTCTTTTAGAGTTAGTGGCCCAGGAGCTTTCTGTAATTGTATTGAAGGACACGGTGTCCTTGGTACTGGTTTTAGTTAGGGAGTTGTAGTAAGAAGACAAGTATGGACAGGTATATGGTCTGGTTCCCCAAGAGATTAATACACAGCAATTACTTTGCCAGCAATGTTAATAGCATTCTAAAGCAGTGGTAGAATATATATTTTAATGAATCTAAAATATAGTAAGATTCAAAAGCAGGTCCTGTAAAATCAGAAAGAAGGATGGAGTTACTTTTGGAATGTCCTCTTTTCCAAGAGTTACCTGAGTACTCAGTACCATAAGACAAGCTGAACAGAAACAAAACTAAGTCCCAAGAGCAGGTTTTGCTAAACTCCACCTTGGCTCCTCACCTTGCTATTGGAAAGTGTGCACATTTACTGAGAACATACCATTTTTTTAAACGGCTAATTACCGGGTTGTATTTTCTCCTTTTGCTTGTTATTTTGCAACCTTGTGAGCCCTCTACATTTTAACCACTATTTTTCCCCTGCCTTCCCATTTGAGATGTTATCATTATCATGGAGCCATGGAGCCATAGTTAACAAGCCAGTGGGGGACACGGCAGTGATGGGGCGGGGTGGGGGGGCGCAGTCTGTTTCTGCAATCCATTGTTACTGAACAACTGATTTGGAAAGGTCCAGAACACAGATGTGCTTCACTTGAAATGCTGCATCTTGGCAAAGACTCAGGTGAGCTGGAACAAGTTGACCTTCTAACTGTGATGTGCATCACACGGGATGACTTGGATTCCTTTGTGTATGGGCTGCTGACCTGGGTTGCCTCTTGCTGTTTTGACTGGACACCCTTCACTTCCTGTATCAAAACCATAGCCATGCCTCCACAGCTGCCATCTCTCACCCTGTGGCTGTGCTGCAGGGTTTTCACCTGCAATGCTGGGAAAAGAGGATTTAGGAAAGCTTTAGGATTCAGAGGTCAGAGAGCTAGGAGTCAGAGATCAAAACTGTAGTCCCAACATAGCCATAAACTCACAGGCACTGGTCTAGATGGTCTGATTTCAATACTGGGGTTGAATTCAGGGCCTTGCACTTGCTAGGCAGGGACTCTACCATCTGACATATGCCTCCAGCCCTGATGATCTTTTTGTGCCAGAATTTGTACTGCAAATTCAAAAGAGAATTTCAGTTCTGAAACTTTACTCAAAAGAAGTCATCCATATGTGTTTTAAAAAAAAACAGTAAAAATTATCCTTTCCTTTTATGTCCAAATTTCTTGCTCCCCGTGCTTGGAGTATATATGCTACTAAGGAATATTGATAAGAGTTGATTTGTAAGTATTCAGCTGCAAACTTCAGAGTGCATCCAGCCCCATGGCAACGCACTAAATCTGCCCCCATGTGCCATGGGCCCATTTTTAAGTCCTGCCCCAGGATACAAGGTATTTTGAATTTTTCTCATAGCATTTTCTTGTAAAATTATAAGGTAGTTTTTCTTATAACAGTGTAAGAGCTCAGAGTAACCAAAATAAGAAGAGCTAAACCAAAAATTCCTTTCTCACATAAAAGAAGTTTGAGAGTGTTAAGACAGAGCTGGTGGGTGGTTTCCAGAAACCAAGTTCCTTCTCTTTTACTGTTCTTCCCTCCTTGAAATGTGACTTCCCCCTTGTGATCCAAAGGGCTGATAGAGCTCCAGTCATCATGTCCTTGTTCCAGACTAATGG